GGCCACGCCGCAATCCCTTCTCCTCCATTCTCCTCTCGGGATCTTGGGCACGCACGCACACGTGCCCGGCGTGAGTTCTAAGCCACCGGGTCCAGGATGTGAACCACAGTCGACTATGTGGGAATCCAGCGACACAGCCATTACGCTAACTGCTGGTTCCCGCACCAATGCCATTTTAACAGAGGAGATGATTGTGTCCAAACTGTTGAGAGGGAAATTAATGTAACTACACAGAAGTATAATAGCTTCCGGATAAAAGTGTGGGGAGTTTTTGGGACTAACGACGACAGCGGCCTCCGTGGAACTGTGGTTTTGAAGACGTCTAGAAGAAGCATCACTGTATAGGCAACTTTATTAAATGTCTCGTGGCTTAGCCAGTGGTGCGGCAGATAAGGGAGCCGGGTCCCACATGGCTGGCTGTGTGGTTTGAGTCCTCGACTCAGTGCCTTAAAAAACATGCTGGGTACGTGTGTGTGTGCCCACAATCCCGACAGGAGAAGGGAGGAGAAGGCATTGTGGTGTTGCCATCTCCCCTGGGGTGGGTGTTTTCTCACTTTCCTTCTCGCTTTCTATCTTCCCTGTGAGCATACACCCTATAGCAAAAATTTAAAAAAAGAAATATGTGTGCGTGTGTATATATATATTAGAAGGGAAAAAAGGGAGGGTTTTTAAGGCCATTTCAGGAATGATTACCTAGAATGATCATCATTATTTACTCTAATGAGTTTTGGTTTATGGTCTATGCAGCTGCGTGTGTGTGTCCTCTGCCAGCTGCAAGGTGGAGGCATCATAGTTTCATAGTCATAGAGTGGGGAGATGACAATGGGCGCAGTGCAAGAGGGACGTGGGCCATGTTTTACCTGGGCTCGTGTGCCCGGTGTACCGTGGGAGCCCACTGCCCGTCACTAGATCTGGGCGAATCTCCCTCAGTGTGTAGTTGCTGGGGCCCAGGACCAGAGCCCGTTAGGTAATGACTAGCTAGACATGTGCTGTGGACACTTGCGGAGGCTCGGCTGGCTCCCTTCTCAGACACTCGAGTACGCAGTGCACTGTGAAGAGCCGTTCAGATGTTGAAATCGTGAGGGTCGTGATTGTTCTGCGTGGCGGCCCAGGTGGGTCTCTGTGCTGCTCTCGTCACTCCTGGTTGTAGAGAGCCGTGCAGTCACAGCTGCCATCTAACCTCGCTGCCGGGCCCACTCGTCACTCCACGGACCCTTCTGGATCCAGGCCGCTAGGTCGCCCTGCCAGCCTGGCTTCCCTTACGGCAGTCATAGCCATCGTGTGTCTGAAGTGACTGACAATCACTTCTTTCATTTCTTCCTCCTTCGGGGATTTTGGACACACATGCATGTGCACCCAGTGTGTTTGTCAGGCTGGTGGGTCAGGGATTTGAACCATGTGCTTGGCTGTGTGGGATTCACCGCCTTAATCACCAGGCCATGAAGCTGGTTCTCAGGTTATTTATTTGTTTTTTAAGTTTGCCTCCATGAACGAGAGAGGCAGAGTGGGACAACGAGACAGACTGAGGAAAACGTAGCCCACTGGTCCCCATGCCGCAGTCCAGGCAGCCAGCCGCAGGCCACGGGCGCACACCCTCAGCGAACTGCAGGCAGTCTCCGGACGCGAACCCAGCGCCGCTCCACGTGTTTTAGCCAGTGTTGCACTTTCTTTCTCTTCCTTTTTTAATTTTTTAACTGCTGCCCCAGCATCTGGCTTCATCTTCTTCCATTTAAGTTTCATTGACTTATTTCTTGAGAGGGAGCGACAGGTCCCCTCAACGAGGTCTTCAGGCGCAGTCCTCCACACTGTCCTGCAGCCAGCCAGACAGCACGTTCCGCAGCCCCAGGAGTTAAACCTGAGGCCTTGCCATGTGCTCCCCAGCACTGCACAGCAGCACCCCTGCTGCCTCAGCAAGTTTTCCCCTCTTGGGCTGGCAGGTGGCGTGGTGGTTGATTTGCTGGACTCCCACATGGCTGACTGTGGTTTGAGTCCTGGGCCTGGTGGCTTGCTTTCTCACTTTCCTTCTCTCTTTCTCTCTTTGGTTAAAAGGATAATGGTGGGACCAGCAGATGGTGTAACGGTTACGTTGCTGGACTCGCATGTAGTTGACTGTGGTTCAAGTCCTGAACTTGGCTTAAAACTCAAGCCAGTGTGTGTGTGTTTGTGCCTAAAATCCTGAGAGGAGACTGGAGGAAAAGGGGCTGTGGCGTGGCAATCTTCCCTGAGGGAGATGTCTCACTTTCTGTCTCTTTCTGTCTTTCCAGTGAACACATGTGCCCTTATAACAAAAATCTCAAGACAAAAAAAAAGATAATGGTAATAATAAATAAAATTAAATAAATAATTATTTTTTTCTTTAGAGAATTATTTTATTTGACTTTATTTATTATTTACTTATTTTAGCTTGATCTGAGAGGGACAGAATGAGAGAGGGAAAGTGAGAAAGCAAGCTGCCAGGCCTGGGACTTGAACTGTGGTTGGCCATGTGGGAGTCCAACACTCTTAACCACCATGGCATCTGCCAGTCCAGTTCTTTATTTATTTGTTTATTTATCTTAATGGCTTATGTATTT